AAGAGTCCTTGTATTTTCGAGTTTTAATTATTATAACTATTAAATTATATTCATCTTATTTTTATACTAAACAGTAGTTGATATTTGATTCTGAATTCTACTTGAATACTATGTATGTGTAATATGGTATAAGGTTCTAATTTGATTTTTTTCCCCCAATAAGAACCAATTGGCCAGATGCAGTGGCACATTTATAGTACCAGCTACTTGGGAGGCTAAGACAGAAAAATTGCTTGAGGTCAGTAGTTCAAGTCCAGCTGAGGCAAGATAGTTAGACTCTGTTTCTAAAAAAAAAAAAAAGAAAACAACCAATTGTCTCAACCCCATTTGTTTCTGGAAGGCTTTTAAGGTTAACAGATTCTTCCAAAATCAAAGAATCTCCTTTTTACTAGGCCATGGAAAAAAAGCAACCTGACATAGTGGCTTCAACTAGCAATACAGCCAGGCTTGTTCTCTAACTTCTCCATGTACACCTAGAGAACAGAGAGGGCCAGCCCAGAATTTGAGGTGGGGAGTTAAAAGTGGGGTGCAGTTACCCTTTCCCTAGGCTCCAAGGCCAGTTAAACTCATGGGGGTAGAAAAGTTCTGAAGATTTACAGATCTGGCCCATATGCCTTTTGGAATGCCCTTTCTTGCCAGCACTGCCAGCTTCCAGGTTTCCAGGCTTGTTGGAGATGATCCCTGGAGCTGACCATTGTCACCAGTTCCTGAATGTTCCACTTTAGAGCTTCACAGTTGTAAAGATCAATTGTCTGACAGCACCCTGAGGCTCAAGCTTTAGCCTTAAGGGATCTAAACAAACAAACAAACAAAGAAAACCCTAAAAAACTGATGGCATACCCTGAATCTTAAACAAAGCTGGTTCACTTTCATACCACCTAAGTGAGCATATAAAACCCAGCTGTCCGCAACAGCACCTGGCTACATTTACCCATGCATTCTTCCACATTTGGAATCCTTGCACTTGGTTTTGCAATCTTTTAACTTACTTCAAAGGCCGGTCAGCTTTTGACAACTGCTTCTTTTTTCTGCAACTGGTTTGTGCTCACTTCTCACCTCTTGGCTTGGTATCTCACCTAATTTGAATGTCACTGTAACATCATGTAAAAGGCATCCTTCTGCTAGCCTGAGCCTCAGAGAACTTCACCAGATGCACTGGTAGTCCCTCTTCCAAGGAAGAAAGTACATAGGCTATGGTTTTCTTCTATGGCACATTGGCTATGGAAGGACCTATGGGGAAGACAGAAACTGGCAGTTCACCTGAATCTTGACAAGTCCTATGTCCTTCCACTCACCTTGGCCAAAGTCCTAGGAAATACTGAAGAGATGGCAAGACAGAAGGGACATGGGACATCTCTATGTCTGTCAGTTTACCTCTACTTTGTCATAAAGGGAGACACAAAAAAGCATAATTGCTTCCCAAGCCAGATGAATTGACTCAACCCCATGAACAACAGCTCACCAAAAGGGGCAGCCAAAGCCTTTCACATTTATCTCTTCTTCATCAGGGATTTGACATGTGAGAACTAGAGCATGTGCTCCAATTCACTGTGGTCTACTTTCAACACAAGTAAAATTATAGATCAAACTGGTCCTAAACACTTCAAAGATCAGACATTATTCAAGTCTTTTATTAGCCTATATGTTCTAGATGTGGTTATTGTGCTGTTCTGCCTCGGACTGAGACTGAGTGATCTTATAAAACATCACTTAGAGCATGACCTTTCACTGCTCAAAACTACCCCAAAGTTCTCTTTGTGACCAGGAGGCCCTCCTTGTACTGGCTCCTACCCACTTCCGTCACCTCACCTCTACCAGGGCTCCTGGCTCAGTGTGCTTTAGTGTGTGCCTTATTCAGTGTTGCCTCTGAACATCCCAGCTCACTTTCCGCTGCTGGAACATTGTCTCCCAAGGCTTACGTGGCCCTATTTCCTGCTTCATTCAGGTCACCTCAAATGTTGTCTTCTCAGAGAGACCGTGAGACCATCTCTGATAACCCTAATAAAACAGCAGCTTCTGTCACTATCAATTTCCCTGCTTTATTTTTGCTTATGGTACTTAACTCTTTGACATTTTACACACACACACACACACACACACACACGTTTATTGTCTCTTTGTTAGAATGTAAGCTCCAGGAAGGTAGAAACATTGATGTGTTCTTCTCTCTCTTTCTCCACCTTGATCAGTATCTGACACAAATAGATATTCAACAATTGGTAACTAAAAATATTCAAATGTGAATACCATAGACTATACAAGTCTAGAGAAAAACTGCCTTTCAGGAGCTCAACTGTAACCTAACCTCCACCACCTACAGCTCTATGATTATCATGATAGGAAAGTAGCTTGTAATCTAATCTACAAAGGATTGCATGAGAAGGAAAATTCTGAAAAATAGTTTTTAAAAATATTTTTTAAATTGCATTTTAGGTTTTGGGGTACATGTGAAGAACATGCAAGATTGTTGCATAGGTACACACGTGGCAGTGTGATTTGCTGCCTTCCTCCCCATCACCTATATCTGGCATTTCTCCCGTGCTATCTCTCCCCAACTCCCCACCCCCTGCTGTCCCTCCCCTATTTCCCCCCAACAGACCCCAGTGTGTAGTGCTCCCCTCCCTGTGTCCATGTGTTCTCAGTGTTCAACACCTGCCTATGAGTGAGAACATGCGGTGTTTGATTTTCTGCTTAATGAGAATCTTATGTGAGGATCTTTCACATACATTACCTGATTAATCCTCACTGAAGCCCCTTAAGGCAGCTATCATCTGCATGATCACAAATAAATACAGGGGGACTCTGTGAGATTATAACCTGAATAATGCCATGTGTACTAAAGGTACCAGATCCAGCAACTCAGATCTATCCGTCCTCCAACAGCCAGGCACTTTCCTATTATGGTACCATGGGATATTGTCAGAGATGCTTAATGTACATTATCCATTCAGAAAAAGTAACATAGTTCTTGAGAGCTGCAATTTGTCCCTAGGTTTTGTGACACCCACCCAACTCAGCAAGTGATAGCACAAAGTAAGGAAAGCATAAAAGACCATGAAACATTTGTATTCTTCCCTTAGGAACTAGAAACCTCCATATCTTGTTATACTGTACTGGACACAGGATTTGTTCTTAGGGCTTATCTTCCAAAGATGGTGGAGAGTCTAGGGTTTGGGGAAAGAGAATATTAAGACAGCTGGTTCTTTTCAAAGACAACATAAATTCATTCTTTCAGTCTCTCTCTCTTTCTCTCTCTCTCTCTCTCTCTCTCTATATATATATATATATATATACATATTATTTATATATTATATAGTAGCTCTCTATTATATATTATAAATAAAATATATAAATACAGTTATATATGTAAATAATACAGTTATATATATTAATTATATATATATATATATATATATATATTTATGACCATGGCCTAGGCTCTTATCCAGAGCTAAGCACTATGGATACAGGGATGATTAAATAAGATAGACACTGTCTTTAGTCTCATGGTGCTTACAGATGGGAAGGGATCTTATGGAGCTAAAATTATGCTGCTGCCACGAAAGTGTTATGTTTTCGTTTATTAATTTACTCAAGAAATATCTATTGGCTACATACTATGTGTCATGCTTTGTGTTAAAAGCAAGGAATAAAATGTTAAGTAAAACCAGACCTGATTCCTACCTTCACACAGCTTGCAGTCTAATGAGGAAGATATTAAATAATCACATGCATACACGGTGCTGTGAGAGCCCACAAATAGGGGAGGCAAGGTTAATTAAATTAGGAGATTCTTGCTTGAGGAAGTACCACTTAATCTGATATTTGAAGGATAACTAGGCATTAACAAGGCAATGAGGAGAGGGAAGAACACTCCAGGTAATTCAAACAGTCCAGGTAATTCAAACAGCATGTGAGAAGATCCCATTGTAGAAGGAAAGATGGTGTGCAGGAAGTCTATGAAAGAGGCCAGTGTGGCTGGAGAGCTGGAAATAAGAAGCATCCTGGTATCAGAGGAGCCTGAGAGATGGGCAGGAGCAGGCCCACAGGACATTGTATGAAATCTACACATGTGTTAAGTCAAAATCTGGCAGCGTGCTCTCCCAGTTGGTCTCTAGGTTAAGAGACCATGTTAATGTGGCAATTCCAAGCTGGGGACAAAGAACCTTGGAGCAGAGGGGCTCATGGTACCAGCAACCAGGAAGAAGACTAGATAATCACTAGGATCTGCACTAAAACCAAGGCTCTGCTTCTTAACACTCCAGGGAGTCGTCAAGGGAAGAACGGCCTTTCTGAACCTCCACTTGCAGAGTGCTAATGTAGTAGTGGAACAGAATGCTGTTTTGGGAGCCCATGACATAAAATTTACATTCTTCATCTGTTATCTCTACGTTTCTCAGGTATTAGATGGGAACAAAAATATTTGCTTTTAAGTGTTAAGATAATTAAATGAGATAATGTGTTAAAGCACTTAGTCCAGCGCTTAGCTCATAGCAGGTATTCAATAAATAATAGCCATTATTTTTCTTTATCTGTTAAGTGGAGACAGTAATAGCACAGATTAAGTTGCTGAGTTCTGAAGATCTGATTAGATTATGCATGTGAAAGCAATAGGCTGGGCCTCCTCTGCGTAGTCTTATTTCTAATTTTAAGAGCCAGAAACCCACGGTTTTGGAGCCTGATGTTCTAATATTCCTTACGAAATCCAGGCCATTGCTTTCTTTATCTGCCTGGTGCACCTTAAGAGCCTTATGCATTCTTTCGAAGGCGATCTCTCACGTTTCTCGTTTTGAGTAAATAGGTGTCTTTCCATTTTGCAATCTCCATCCTACAGCAGGCTGGAAAAGCCCTGCGGGAGACGGCGTATCCACCACCCGCTGCTGGGTCGGCCCCGCAGCTGTGCCCACTCGAGAGCTGCCAAAGAAGCTGATCTTGGTGCGGCGGGACGGGCCAATCAGAAGAAGTTTGGCCCTCTGCAGTTTCCGTCCGCTCAATAGGAGGCGCTGCGGCGGCGGCGGCAGCGGCAGCCGGGGCTGTCGCGGGCTGGGGCGGTTGGGCTGGCAGCTGAGGTTCATGGCCATGGAGTGGGGTTATGAGTCGGCGGCTGTGAGGAGGCACCGCGTCGGAGGAGAGCGTCGGGAGGGACCAGCGGCCGTGCCACCGCCGGAGAGGGAGGCCCGAGCGCAGGAGCCCCTGGTGGATGGGTGCGGCGGCGGCGGCGGCGGGAGGACGCGGAAGAGGAGCCCAGGGGGAAGCGGCAGCGCGAGCAGGAGCGCGGGGACCGGGCTGTCTGAGGCGCGCGTAGCGCTGGGGCTCGCGCTCTACCTGCTCGCGCTGCGGACGCTCGTGCAGCTCTCACTGCAGCAGCTTGTGCTGCGTGGGGCCGCTGGACACCGCGGGGAGTTCGACGCGCTGCAAGCCAGGTACTGGCCGCTCCTTCCTGGCACGGCCCGCGCGTCCCTTTGCGGCTCCTGCCTAGGCTTCGGGGCACCGCACCTGTGTGCACCCGCCCCTGCCGGAACGCTAGGACTTGCTAGCCCCTCCCGGGCTGCACGTGGGGTGGGTGGGGTGACCCTGCTAGTCCTTCTGGGGTCTGAATTGCTGGGACTTGCCTGTCCCCCGTTGAACTCGTGGTGCGGATTGGGGTGGCCAGTAGATTGAGCCTGCTTTTTCACCTGCTGTCTGCCCTGCTTACGGATGGTTGATGGTGAGTCGTCTTCCCCATCTTATGGAACAGCTTCCACTTTTTACCCTCCTTAGCCCTTCTGCTTTCCAAATGGAATGGAGAGTGAAATTTGTGCACCTAGACCGTTTTATCAATTAGCTTTGGGGGCGGAAGGTGTTGGAAGGAGCTAGGGCAGTGTTCTAAATTTCTGAGGGTCACAGCCCCCAAATCAGAAAGCTATAGAGTCTCTTTCTGGAACACAGCCCAGTCAAAATTTGGTATGTAGCCTGATAAATTCTCAGATTCCTGCAGTTTATCTTTAGGCTCCTTGGATTAAGTGAGTGTGTAAGGTTTGACTTTTTTTTTTTTTTTTTTTTTTTTTAAAGACCTTTAAGAATGCTAGGAAAGGTGATTAAGTAATAGGTATGGTAACCCAGGTGTGTCAAAGCTCATGAAATGATAAGCTAGCTTAAAGTTTTCAGCAGCTGCTGTGTTCTAAAAAGTTGTTCTCAGAATGCAAAGTGTTGCAAGCTTATTAAGGATTTCTGAAACATCTCCCATCCCCCCGGCCCCCCTACCCCCGCATTCCCCACTTGGAATGCAGTGAAAAGACAGAAAAGACAAAAAAAGTTTTTGTTTTCATTAGGGGTAGAGTTGGTTTTGGCTTGAATTGAAGTTATTAGGCCTTGGCTGTAAATTAGGAGGGCTGGGTTCATCAAAAGCCCCCCAACCCATTTAACCTTTTAACTTGATGATCTTTGCTCGTTGGTTTCTGCTACTTAAAATCAGTAACCCAGAATCTATAATCTTCAGGAGTGTGCATAGTCGGGTTATATTCTATCCTGCTTAGCCTTCAGCGGCAACACTTTTTTTGTTATGTTTTTTTGAGACAGGGTCTGGCTCTGTCGCCGAGGCTGGAGTGCAGTGGCTCCATCTCAGCTCTCTGCAGCCTGCACCTGCTGGACTCAGGCAATCCTCCTTTCTCAGCCTTCTGAGTAGCTGGGACTACAGGCGGGTAGTAGTTTATATCCAAGTAGTTTTTGCATTTTTAGAAGAGAGGGGTTTTCACCACGTTGCCCAGGCTGGTCTCAAACTCCTGAGTCAAACAATATACCTGCCTTGGCCTCCTAAAATGCTGGGATTACAGATGTGAGCCACAGCACCCTGCCAGTGGTCACACGTTTTGAATACATCCCTAGGCTTTGTATTGGTTTGATATAGGGAGAAGCTGCGAGTGGGGTGATGGAGAAAACTGAGGGGGTCAACTCATGGGAGGCAAAAATAAAATCATGGAATCTTACAAGTGATGTTCACTTGGTGTCTGAAATAATAAAAGGCAGTCCTTTTTATATGAGAAGTCAAAGAACTAAGCTTTTTGGGGGAGGAAGCTGTGTGTATTGGAAAAGTTACCCATGCTAAGTGTCAATTTTAACTACAAACCTTTGTTACTCTTTTGGTCACTTTCAGGGATTTTCTTGAACACATAACCTCCATTGGTCCCAGGACTACAGGAAGTCCAGAAAATGAAATTCTGACAGTGCACTACCTTTTGGAACAGATTAAACTGATTGAAGTGCAAAGCAACAGCCTTCATAGGATTTCAGTAGATGTGCAACGGCCCACAGGCTCTTTTAGCATTGATTTCTTGGGAGGTTTTACAAGCTATTATGACAACATCACCAATGTTGTGGTAAAGCTGGAACCCAGAGATGGAGCCCAGCATGCTGTCTTGGCTAACTGTCATTTTGACTCAGTAGCAAACTCACCAGGTATGTACCTGTGTTTTTAGTCATTTGGAAGTTGTTACAGCCAAGAAAGTTTGTTAACATAACCCAAGCTACTTGGGCAATTGTGGGGACCATTTTCTTGGGCAAACCTTTTTTGTTTGTAATGGAAAGCAGGATAATTAGGATAGTATCATTTAGTTTAGGATCTAACCATTCTGTATTCTCTTAAGTGCTTTATTATTTTTTTGGTATTAATGCCAGCAGCCCAGTGACAAGATTTGGAAGTTCCTCGTAGACTGAAACAGCCTTCTCAATGTTACCAGACAGTGTGTGTGTACTTGTGTCCTGGAGTTAGGTCTGACATTTAAAAAGTGTTTTACTCAGCTGGCTGTTATACTAGACTTTGGAGATACCAGATAAGGACAGTCCCTGCCTTCAAGGGATGCACGGTTTTAGAGCAAGCGTGTCCAATCTTTTGGCTGCCCTGGGCCACACTGGAAGAAGTAGAATTGTCACTGGCCACACATAAAATACACTAACAATAGCTGAGGAGCTAAAAAAAAAAAATTCCAGAACAATCTCATGTTTTAAGAAAGTTTACGAATTTGTATTGGGCTGCATTCAAAGCTGTCCCAGGCTGTGGTTTGGGGGATAGCTCTTATAGCAGATTCTGTTGACCTATAAGGTGAGAATTTTGGTCCACTGAGGGTGCCATACTGTCAAAGTACCTAATTAATCTGTAAATCTTTTTCTGAAAATACTTCGGCAAAATAGAACACTTGCATTTAAGACAATGCCTGACATAATAAATATTTGTCAAATGAATGAGAATTCCCTAAATTGAACTTCCATTTATTAAAATATTTATTCTTCAGAAAATTGTTTTCAATGGTTAAAGACATTGTAAGTATGGATAGAAAATAGCATTTTACAATGGTGTAGCATTTTAGGGGTAGATGAGACCTGAGATGGCATCTGGCTCAATGCTCTCATTTGACACAGGAGTAAATTTAGCTGATCATCACTGATCAGAGACAAAACAGGGATAAGGTGCTGGATTTCCTGGCCAGTCAGTTCTGTCAGCTACATTTGAAAGGAAAAAGAATATTAGAGTGTAGTTAATACTCCATTTCACAAATTGCTTAACTTCTTAGTTTCTCATCTGTGAAATGGAGAAAATAATAGTACTTTCCTAATTGTGTTACTGGGAGGGGTAAATATAAGTAAAACATTAAAATAGTACCTGGCATGGAAAACGTTTTTTAAAAGTTTCTGTTAACTCTTACATAATATTAACACTTCTGGATTGCTTGAACTTATAGTGGGCCCAATTTGAACATCTAGAGTTATACAAAATGTAAGTAAAATTTGTTTGATAAAATGATACATATTAGAATATCTTCATTTAGAAAGCTTGACATTTGCATTTAGAATGTAACTAGCATTTTCAAAAATCAGGATAAATAAGCCAGAAGTACTTTTGTGTGCTACTGGGGTAACCAGTGTTTTTTTTTTTTTTTTTTATGAGACTGAGTCTCACTCTGTCGCCAGACTGGAGTGCAGTGGCACAATCTCATCTCACTGCATCCTTGCCTCCAGAGTTCAAGTGGTTCTCCTGCTGTGCCATCACACCCAGCTAATTTTTTTATATTTTTGGTAGTGACGGGGTTTTACCATGTTGGCCAGGCTGGTCTTGAACTCCTTACCTCAAGTGATCCATCTGCCTCAGCCTCCAAAAGTGCTGGGATTGCAGGCGTGAGCCACCACACCCAGCCACCACTGTGGTTTTTTTTTTTTAATGTCCATTTAAAAACAGTAATAAATGTCACCCTTTGCCCACTATTAGCGATGCTTAAATTCTGGGAAGGGGCAAATAAACACCATGGTTGCTTAACTTTATATAAGAAGGCTGTGTATACAAGAATTAGAAGCAAATGTAGGGACAAAAGAAAACAGTTTCCCTTCTACCATTCGTAGTTTTTAACTGGTGGACCCCTGTAACACAAGACAAGCTAAAAAGAGAAAAATCAAATAGATGTTTATTAACACATGCACTTCATGTACATGGGAGATACTCAGGGAAAATGAGTAAATCTCAAGAGGTGGCTTAGCAATCTGGCTTATGTAGCATCTTTAACAAAACAATGCATTTTTAGAGAAGTGACAAAAGAAAGGAAAAGTACCTTGAGTCTCCAGGGGTGGCAAATTGTAGGAAGGCAAGTAAATGGTACATAAAGGTTAAGAAAGTGTCATATAGATTCCTCTTGTGCTGTCACCATGCCGCTAAGAGTTTAAAGTTGTCTTTCATGATCAACCTTTGTACTTCCTGGTGAAGAAGGGAAGTGGGACACCTTGGTAAATTTATAACCTGCTTTTAGGCAAATAAGGGGAGGGCAGAGAGCTTTTTTGTATAGTACCTACTTCTCAGTTGCCTTCAGCTTAAAATAACCTATATGCCAAAGGGACATATTTTGGAGTGGCATATTAAGTTCTCCTTTACAAACATAGTGCCAAATGTTACAAATTGTACATGTGCAGTCTAATAATTAAAGGTCAGCATTTTTCTGAGTCATTAGAATGCACTTTTTATTGTTTTTTCTTTTTAAATAATAGAGACAAGTTCTCACTTTGTTGCCCGGGCTAGTCTTGAACTCCTCAAGTGATAATTCTACCTCATCCTCTCAAGTGCTAGGATTACAGGTGGGAGCCACTGTGCCTGGCCTAGAACCTACTTTTAACTAAAATTTTATAAGAATACCCTTAGCAACAATCTCAAGGAAATTTCTGTCAATAATAAATTGTTAAAAATAGTGTTTCACATATTCATCAAGTAGACCAATCTTGTCCAGCTAGCGACCCTGGGCAGCTTTGAATGTGCTCCAAAACAAATTTGTAAACTTTCTCAAAACATGAGACTTTCTGTAATTTTTTTTTTTTTAAACTCATCAATGGTTGTTAGTGTTAGTGTATTTTATATGTGGCCCAAGACAATTCTTCTCCTAATGTGGCCCATGGAAGCCAAAAGATCGGACACCCCTGAAATAGACTATCACCTAGATCCTTTTGGTGGATGGCCTAATTGAAGTACTTCTTTTTTCTTTTTATGTTCTCAGCTGTGTATCTAGGACTCAGGAATTGATACCAATTAGGAGTAATGTTATCCACAGAAAAGCCTTAATTATCTTTTTGAGTCTGCTGTGTGGTTCCAGGTCGTTGGTAGAAGAGGCATTGAGTTATTTTGTGGGTGGCTTCAATTTCAAGGTTAATTCTAAATGGAAAGGGATGTCAGTTAACCACCTAGCTCTTGTAAGACTGTCCTCTTAACTTTCCTTCACTTTCTCAAAGATATTTGACCCTCTGTAGTTCTCTTCTAACACACCAGAACCTTAAAATAGGGGATACTGAATGGACAATTTAACTTTTTAATCAACCCTGTATAGATACCTTTGAATTTCCCTTTCTCTTTTTTTGAATTAAGAAACATTATTTGCTTTCTATTGTAAAGTAACTCACAGTGTCAAAAAAAGGGTTTATTTCATGAGGGTTTTGGAGGGTGACACTTTTTGCTAATAGCAACATTTTCTATTTGGTAGTGATTAGATAGTTATTACTTTGTTTCACTTAGATTGAAATACAGACCAGTAATCATCACTTAGACAAGTGTGGTTAATAAGTAGTTTCGGTCTGACATGGTGGCTCACACCTGTAATCCCAGTGCTTTGGGAGGCTGAGGTGGGCAGATCACCTGAGGTCATGAGTTTGAGACTGGCCTGGCCAACATGGTGAAACCCTGACTCTACTAAAAATACGAAATTAGCCGGGTGTGGTGGCGCATGCCTGTAATCTCAGCTACTCTGGAGGCTGAGGCAGGAGAATTGCTTAAACCCGGGAGGCAGTGGTTGCAGTAAGCCGAGATTCTGCCATTGTACTTCAGCCTGAGCAACAAGAGTGAAACCTCATCTCAAAAAAAAAAAAAAAAAAGGTTTCTTCTCAAGTAGGAATGGGGTCTGGAATTTAACAGAGCCCAAACAGCATTTTAATTTTAGCTAGCTACAGAGCCTTCCTCAGATTTGCAAAGAGAAGGGAAAATGAATATTAAATGCCTCCCAGGTGCTAGGCACCGGGCATTATCTGATATGACCCTTATAACAAACCTGTGAGGTAGGTATCATTAGCTTGCTCTTTAAACCAGGAAATAGTGGAGTAAAGTGATAGAGCTCAAATTGACTTCCATGTCTTTCTTTCTCTCAAATCTATGCTAAACTCTTTGGCACTCTGCTTCTCAGTTTTTAAACCCGAAAATGTTATTGCCTGAGTTATGATAGTGCTTATTGACTTCGATTACTCTTAAGTTTTTTGTTATGGAAAATTTCAAATATATTCAAAAAGCGGAATTGTTTAATGAACCCCAATGTACTTATCCCCCAGCTTCAGCAGTCTGATCTTGTTTCTTTCCTGCCACTACCCTCCCAACTTCTTGATTATTTTGAAGCAGATCTTAGCTGTATTAGTTCCTCTCTAAAAATATTTCAGTCTGTATTGCTATAAGATAAGGGCCCTTTTTTGATATAATACCACCAATTGCCTCACCTAAGAAAAACCTAACAATAATTCCTTGGTATCACCAAATACCCAATCAGTTCCTTGAACTGCCTCTTACAGAGCTTTAAAAAAGCAAGACAGTGAAGTCATTTTTATAGTTAGTTTTTATAAACATACACAGTTTCTGAATCAAGAGGTTCAGAGGTTCAACTGAGTATGTGTTCTGGGACCAAGAATACTACCTACATCATTAGTCTTTTTTCCTCTGTCTTGTTACGTATTTTCTTTACACTTTTTCATCACATATTCCCCTTGGAGAAACTTTAAAGGAATGTTACACCCTCTAAAATGACCTCTCTGTGCAGCTTTTATGATTCTGGCAGGAAAACAAGCAAGAAAGGAATGGGTGCAGTGGGAGATGATGCAGGAAGCTGTGAGCACTGGAAGTGAGATTATTAGAGAGGATATGGAATACGGGTAAAGAATGCAACAGATTTCTTTGGTTTATTGAGAATACCAGTTTCTAGTATGACATTAAGTCCCCTCAGGTTGCTTTATTTAGCAGACACTAACTGAGTGACTGTGGTGGGTCAGGCCTGGTTGTAGGCATTGAGAGTAAGTCAGTGAGCAAACCAGACAAAGATCCTGTCATGGAACTTGCTGCTGGTGGATGTAATTGTCACCTGATGATGACAGAGCTATGCTTCTGGTCATGCGGCTATTGTGATGCTTCTCTGGGGAAAAAAAAACTCCATTCCTAGTCCTAATGGGTCATGTTGTAAAGATTTTAAAGTCTGAGGAGCAAATCTGTTTTTCTGATTTAAAGGTGCCAGCGATGATGCAGTTAGCTGCTCAGTGATGCTGGAGGTCCTTCGTGTCTTGTCAACATCTTCAGAAGCCTTACATCATGCTGTCATATTTCTCTTTAATGGTGCTGAGGAAAATGTCTTGCAAGTGAGATTTTACTGTTTTAATTATTAGACTTGAATAAGGACGAGAATAATGATAGCTAACACTTAAATGTATTTTTTATTACTCCTGTGGGTAGTATAAAATAATATCCAAAAAATACTATATATACACTAAATACTAAATAAAAAATTCACAACCATTTATGTAGAGATGTTTAATATTTGGAAAACTTTACTCAGTGGATCATTGTGGCAGTGTTTGATTCACAGAAGGGCTCTTTGATGGCATAATTACCCTCCTCAGGTTTTCTTTGACATTGAGGTTTCAGAGATGTTTTGAGACATGCACAAACAAACGCCCAGCCATATACATTGTCTCTTCTGTTCTCTTTTTTTTTTCCTCTTTTTAAAAAGAAATGGGTTCTTGCTATGTTGCCCAGGCTGGTCTCAAACTCCCAAGCTCCGGTGATCTTCCCACCTTGGCTGCCCAAAGTTTTGGGATTACAGGCATGAGCTACCATGCCCAGCCCTCTTTGCCTTTTCTTTTGCACAGTCTTGTACTTACCAGGGATATTGTTTGGCACCACTAATGGTAATCTGGCTGCCTTCTGTGATGGGTGACTTTCCAAACCCATGATGTGCATAGCCTTTATGCATAGAAAAAGAAACAGAAAATGTCTTTGGATACTGCCGTTGAAGAGTGATTATTTTGTTTTCATATTCCTTACCTCATCAAAATAGGCTCTCTGTGTTTAAGCAAAATCAGAACTGATAGTTTAAAATTGTTTAACAAATGTTTGTTTTCTTTCCTTCTCATTAAGGCCAGTCATGGTTTCATTACTCAGCACCCCTGGGCTAGCTTGATTCGTGCGTTCATTAACCTGGAGGCAGCAGGTGTAGGAGGGAAAGAACTTGTGTTCCAAACAGGTATGTGAGACAGCGGGTTGTATATTTCAATGCAATTCTAGTTTTTATAAAAGTTGGAAGTTTTTGGTTATAAGTAATCTATTTAATAAACAGTCTTTTGAATGAACATTCTGAAAGCATGAGGTGGTGTTAGCTTGTCTTCATTAAAAAAATTGAACAAAATAATACAGCTTGTAACACTTGTATAGTGCTTATTATATGCCAAGTGTTGAAAGCATTTTGTATATATTAAGTCAATGAATTCTCCAAGCAACATGTAAGATAAGTACTGTTATTTCCATTTTAGAGATGAAACTGAGTCCAGAAAGATTATACTTGCATAAGGTTTCACAGTTGGTTAATGGCTGAGTGCAGTTTGAACCTAGACAGTCCAGGTGCCGAGACTTTGTTCTCAGCCTCCAACTAGATTGTTATATAGGTAGTGAAATTTTAGCCATCATGGGTGATTATGATATAATTTTAAATGTCAATCATTTCGTGAGTTAAAATGAGAAAATTTACTGTAGTTTAACAAGTTTAAATTTATCATTGATTTAATGGAATGTTAAAAATATTTGCTCAGCCAGAAGAATTTTTGTTTTATTTATTTATTTTTTTAGAGACAGAGTTGTGCTCTGTCACCCAGGCTCAAGTGCAGTGGTGCTATCATGAAGCCTTGACCTTTTGGGTTCAAGTGATTCTCCTGCCTCAGCTTCTTGAGTAGCTGGGACTGCAGGTGCTTGCCATCACGCTTGGCTAATTTTAAAATGTTTTTGTAGAGACAGGCTCCCATTGTGTTGCCTAGGCTGATCTCAAACTCCTGGGTTCAAGTGATCCTCTTGCCTTGACCTCCCAAAGTGCTGGGATTACAAGCGTGAATCACCATGCCAGGCCTAGAGAAATAGTTTTAGTTTTATGATTAAATTTTTCTAAGGATAGCAGGATAGAGTTGATAAATATCAGCTTAGCCCATTTATGCCTAGTGTCCCATTATTGAAACACTAAGTCTGTGTGAGTTATTTATATCTTTCTGCTCAAGGTGGTCACCAAGGTCTGATTTTTCACACATGCGAAAATTCAAAAAATTGCAGCCTCAGGCATACATGGGTTTTAACTGTTTTTGTTAACAAAATTCAAAGCTCATAGATTTGTTTAGTCAGGGCATACTAAAATTTGACATTAGAAGTTCCATTCCATCTCCCTGCCCTGTTAGAATGCATTTTATCCAGAAATGTAGCATTTGCTAGATGTTTTTTTTTTTTTTTTTTTTTTTTTTTTT